AGATTTTGTAGCATTAAATGATAAAAAAATGACAATCATTATCATTATTTTATCTCTCCTTCACCAGGCTTTTTACTGCATTTTTTATTTTACAATGACAGTTATAAATGACACGAAGAAACTTATCTAAAATATATTCTGCAGCATAAATTTAGATATTTGACTGCCAATGTATGGATTTAGCTTAGATTTTTAAACTTTGTGTTTTTGAAATTGTTTTGAATTTACATAAAAGCCACAGACAGCGCATAGAGCTCCTGTGTACCCTGTACTTCAGTTCTCCAGTTGTTAATGTTTCTGACCCACCTGAGAAGTTGCAGACATGATGCTCTGCTGCCCTATCCTCCTTCAGTGTGGTTTCCTAGGTACAAGGACATTGTCCTACGTGACCACAGGGCAGCCATCAAAACCCGGAAATTAACATTGATCCAGTGCTACCTTCTAGACCACAAGCCCAATTCAAACTTCATCAGTGATTTCAACAATGCCCTTTATGTCCAAATTCAATTCACAGACCACATGTTGTATTTCGTTGGGGTGTATTTTAGTCTTCTTCAGTCTGGATCAGTTTCTCATATTTCCTTATTTTTATGATCTTGATCTTTTTAGAAAGTATAAGCTGATAACTTTATAGAATATCCCTCAGTTTGGGTTTGACGATGTCGCCTCCTGGTTTATGCACTTGGTGGGCATACCACTGAAATGAGGCTATATTCCAGTGCCTTGTAACAGAAGCTATATAATGCTAATATCCCTGTGAACTTTCATCTCTTGGAGAAGATTGTATCTACCAGGTTTCTGTACTCTAAAGTTAATAAATATATTGCAGTTCTAAATCCATAAGTAATTTATAAGTGTTTTATGGGGAAGTACTTTGAAGCCATGCAAATCCAGTTGATTCTCATTTGTGGGTAGTTGTGTTCTATAAAGTCACATGAACATTGAGTTAGCGAATACAGAAGCATTGCTCTAGGGAAAACACAGGATTGGATTCCTGTCACAACATAATCATCAACCAATCAGTACGTAACCTTGTTTTATGTATGTTTCTGTTCGAAGACACTTTATTCAATATATATTGTTGATTCATTAACACCGAACCTACAGCCAACTAGCAGTATGACTCATGCCTGAAGGAAGTGTATCTAACACGCGTATTTTCTCTACATGGCACATCACAGCCTCTTAGGAAAGCTAGACAGCATTTCAGCACTATATCTGAGGGCCATTTGAAACAGGGAAATCACCAAAAACACAAAAATGCTAAAAATATGACAGTATCTTGTGAAAAGGACACTTGCTTGCAGCATGAAAGCTGACACAGGAAGACAGTGTGAGATGCCTCATGAAATCTTAGCCAAGAAAGTGTGTGTCCTACAACTTAAATTTTTTTGCCACTTGGTGCATGTCCTTGAATGGCTACCCCCTGTGAGTATTGATTTGGGGGTTACACATAAATTGTAGCAAATTTGAAAATACTAAATCTGTAAATAATGAGGATTGATTGTATCTTGTTTCTATTAAACTTTCACTTACCACTTTTAGCATCCATTGACCTTAAATTGCTTCATATTTGACTACTGGGGATCCTTCAAACTGTCTTTGGTGTCCTTCTGACATGCCCAATCATTCTCTGAGCACTTTACTTTCTTGTTTAACAAGATTTTCCAGGCTCATCTTGTATTTTCTCTGCCTCAGCTCTGAAGTTAGACATTTCTCCAAGGAGCTCTGGTTCCTTTGAGTGGAAAATGGCCTTTAGAAACCAAGCACCGGGTGCTAGGTGTGCTCATTGCTATTAGGGTGTTATAACTTCTAAACTGTGTAGTAGACAGAATTAGGAAATATGTGTATGTACACACACTCACACATATCTATCATCTGTCATCTTTATCTATCCATCTATTGTCTATCATCATATCTATCAATCATATTCTATCTATCTGTCAGTCTGTCTATCTGTCCATCCATCCCATGACTTCATACCATTACCTTCAGTTCCAATCTGATATCTAACTATCCCCTGTCCATATTTGTAACTCCCTTCTCTGGCCATTAGAAAGCTGACTGCCGTTAGTTTCAATGGACTAACTTACTCACTGTTCTTGTATTTAAACCAACTCCCAGCCCCACCTGCCAAAGACACAAGCCTGGATATCTGGCCCTTTGTTCCTGCAGGGCATGTATGCTGAAGGTTTAGCTCCAACAAAGGGAAGAAGGAAGGTGGAAGAAAGGAGGAAGCTAACTTAAAGTTGTTGAATTTCAACTTTTGCTAAATTCTTCTTAAATAACACCAGTTTTTTTGTTTTATTTATTTATGAAAGAGAAGACAAATATTACATATATTTTTAGTTAGCTTTGAAATTAGAGGGCTATTTACCACATCAAATGGGTATAAAGGAAAAATCAGTTTTCTGTAACTAGTATCTTTTTTTTTTTTTAAAGATTTTATTTATTTATCTGAGAGAGAGAATGGGAGACAGAGAGCATGAGAGGGGGAGGATCAGAGGGAGAAACAGACTCCCCGCTGAGCAGGAAGCCCGATGTGGGACTCGATCCTGGGACTCCAGGATCATGACCTGAGCCGAAGGCAGTTGCTTAACTAACTGAGCCACCCAGGCGCCCCTGTAACTAGTATCTTTTTTAAAAAAGTTTATTTATTTAAGTAATCTCTACACCCAATGTGGGACTGGAACTCAGACCCTGAGATCAAAAGTTACATGCTCTTCTGCTCTTCTGACTGAGCCAGCCAGGCGCCCCTATAACTAGTATCTTTTAAAACATTCATGTGAGACATATGTTATCTTCTTGGATTAAAAAAATTTATTGTATAATTTCACCAGATGTTTTAGATTCAATAATATTTAGATTTAATATACCAAGTAAACTTAATTTGAATCTCCAAATGTTGATAGAAAATCTTCTAATTTTTAAATTTTAGATCTTTTGATTTGCCTATTTACAAGAGAATATTGGGTAATTTTATGAAGTAGTTTAATTATTTTTTTTTCTGGTGTGTTTGTCCATGTTAAAAAATGAAGTATGCATCTTAATTTTTTTAAATGTTCATTTAAACTTTAAATGATCAAATTAAGATATAGAATATTAAAATTAATTCACATTTTAAAATGATTAGCAAATAGTCTTGACTTCCTAAGTTTTAAATTCTGGTGTATAGGCCATAAATTATAGCTTTAATAACAAGTTTTGCTTAATTTTTATGAAATGATTTTATTATGTTGTAGCATAAGAGGATAACTGTTCTTTTCTTTTTAAGATTTATTTATTTATTTTAGAGAGCAAGAGAAAGAGCACACACTCAAGCAGGGGGAGGGGCAGAGGAGAGGGAGGAGAATCTCAAGCAGACTCCCCACTGAGCATGGAGCTCAATGTGGGGCTCAATCTCACAACCCTGAGGTCATGACCTGAGTCAAAATCAAGAGGCGAATGCTTAACTGAATGAGCCACCCAGGCGCCCCAGGAGATAACCACTCTGATAACTGAGATGACTGTACCTGTCAGAACTAATGCAGCTTATCTTTTCCATGATACATTCCAAGATATGTAAAGATCACATAAATGTGGGTTAATTCACATTATAAACATGCAAAAATGCAAAGGAATATGCACAAGAATCTCCTTTTATTCCTCTTTCCCAATCTTATTCCAATTACAGAATTTATTGGTGTTGTATATATTGGGAAGTATATATATTCAACCACATATAAATACGTTGTTTTGGTTTGTTTGATTTTTACTTTGATATTACATATATGTATATGTATATATATTTACATACTCATGTATATGTATATTTCTGCAGCAGCTTGCTTTACTCATTTTTTTTTATAAGATTTTTATTTATTTAACAGAGATAGAGAGAGAGCACAAGTAGGCAGAGCGGCAGACAGAGGGAGAGGGAGAAGCAGGCTCTCCGCCGAGCAGGGGGCCCGATGTGGGGCTCGATCCCAGTACCCTGGGATCATGACCTGAGCCGAAGGCAGCCGCTTAACCGACTGAGCCACCCAGGCGCCCGCTTTACTCATTTATAAAAATATTTCTTGGAGTTCCTTTTATGCCAGCACATATAGCTCTGTATCATTTTTAGCTACCGCATAGTATTTCATTATAGGGCTGTGCCATAATTTATTTAAACATTTTCCATTTAGTCTTTTTCCTTAAATTTTTGCTATTATAAATAATGCTGAAATGAAGATACCTGGACATACATCTTGAAGCATATATATATGGCAAGTTCTGTAAAGTAAATGCAAAGACTTAAAGATGAGACTTTTCTCTCTTCCTTGAGAGACAGCTGGGCTGGTCCCGAGCCCCCACCTCTGGGCTCTCCTCCTTTGGAGATCATTTCTCATTCTTCCCCAGTCCAAAGGCCCTGGGAGTATCTGACCTGGTGACCTGACCCTTAAGCCCTTTTAGCTGCATCATTTCCTGTTTCATAATGAGGCTGGAAGATTAAATGTCCAGAATCATGTACCAGTTCCCCTGCTGTGGGTGTCTGCAATGCGGGTTCAGGGATGTGACAACTCAGAAGTGGGTTTCTCAGGGATGTGCTGGTTGAATGAAGTAGAAACCATAATGTAGCACTGTACTGCAGATACTTTGTGCATTTAGTAGATTCTTGCGTTTTAGCAAAGAATAACATTGTTTTAATTAAAAAAATGTAAACAATTTATCTTAAGCAGTTTTTAGAACAGGAGTCATAGGTTGGGTTTTTCTTGTAAGGTTATTTGTGTCTGGATATGTTTTCTGTTACTTTATTAAATTTCCTCATCCTACTTGAAAAATTTTCAGTAACCCCAAATCTGTTTAATAAAGGGGGTGATTTCTAATCAGTCATCAGGTTTTTCTGTTTTTATTCTCTATTCAGTAGTCTCGAATATTGCTGAATGGCTATTTCCAGTTCATTTCAAAAACAATTCAATCTTATTTTATTTTCCATCCCTTATTTATAACATTCATTTGTCATTTTTGTCATTTTGTAGACCTACCAAGAGCAGCTGTCAGGATCTTAAGCAACATGACATTCCTTTTTGTGAGTTTGTCATACACAGCTGAGAGTGCCATTGTAACTGCTTTCATTACCTTCATTCCCAAGTTCATCGAATCACAGTTTGGTATCCCAGCTTCCAATGCCAGCATCTACACTGGTAAGGCACTGCCGTTAGAGCTCCTTGAAAACATGATCATTTTTGACCACTAACCTAAAATGCAATGAGTGAGGAGAAAGTTCATTCTAACATCAAAGTGTTGAATAAATTCATTAACAGCTACCTGCCTCCCCTCACCCTCCACCCCCATTTTAGGAGGAGAAGGTCTTTGAATGTTTTCTTGTTGACTCAGATGGTGTTACTGTGTGCCATTTTTTACCAACTGTCTTTTGGGAAGGGAGAACTTTGCATAATTATGTTTTTATGGTTCTCAGTTAAAAAGAATGAAATGGGCAATGGCATTCAAATTTAAATCTGAATATATCTTTTTATGGGTGGCATGAGTCAAATTAAAAAATGATTGAAAAAATTTTAAATGGATAATCTGAAATAGAGATGATCAGGTGCATGGTATCAGGATTTCCCCTTCAAGAATATAAACAGATTTTGATTGAATTACAAGAGATGCTTGACTTTATAAGGAAATCTATGAATTTTGTTTTAGAAGGTGTTTTATGTCTGGGAGAATGATTTTTGGAGACGATGATATGGGTACCTATTGTATGTAGTACTCAAATCTTTTTTCATAATAAATTGAGGGGGAGACGAACCATGAGAGACTATGGACTCTGAGAAACAAACTGAGGGTTCTAGAGGGGAGGGGGGCAGGGGCATGGGTTAGCCTGGTGATGGTTATTAAGGAGGGCACGTATTGAATGGAGCACTGGGTGTTATGCACAAACAATGAATCATGGAACA